TTGAGTATGATTGCATTTGGGGTGTGGTGTTGTTATCAATAATAGTAGGGCCGTCCAAATATGAGAAAGCAATATTCAGGGCTTCATCAAAATCGTCATCCAATAATTGGTTGTCATCAATCATCTCAGGTTGATGGTTTGACTGAGTGAGACCAATTGGGTTTGTAACGAACTCTGGCTCATGACTAGTGAGGCCAATTGGATCATGGTCATCAATATTAATCTTTTGAATCTTGCTTTTGGATTCTACTGAAGCATCATCAATACCATGATCCTCTGCGGCAGATTTAAATTTTCTCTTCCTTTCATTCTTATGAAGCTTCTGGTCGTTCTTTCGAATCCGGCACAACACCAATTGATCGCCATCATCATCACTAGCCCTGGAATTTTTGGATTTGGGCATGGAAGGATAGTCTTTAAGACTATATTCATGCATAATCCAACAACCATTCTGATCAGATTTAGGGTTTTTATAATGAAACCTCCTCGAGAACCCCAAAACCTTCTGCTCATTCTTAGGATCAAGGACTTTGGCAGAGTTCTCTCCATGCCAGCAGCCATTTCCAGCCTTCCGAGACACACGGGTGCCTTTGGTCTTCAACGTGGTGAAGAAATACAAGTCTTCACCAATCTCTAAGCCATCTCCACCAAAATCCTTCCAAATTTTCCAGGGTTCAGAGGTGCCATAAAGATTGATCTTTGGCACCTCATACTTCATTGGCTTTCCAGAAACCTTGTTGTGCAGATAATAGCCCAACAAGTCAGAATCTTTGGGATGAAAATAAAAACCTACCGGAAGATCAACAGCACAAGGGCCCATGGTTATTTCTCTCTCGGAAAGCAAGCAGCTTTCTCTTTAATTCTCCGATTCTGCAATTGATTTTATGGGTTTTCTTTCTTTAATCAAATATGAAGAATTTATCTCTGAGTTTCTTTGGATTTGATTGAAAAGTACAGAGAATTAATCTCTGTTTCTTCTTTGAGGAGAGCTGAGAGATCATCAAAAGGCACTTGAAGTGTTGGTTGGAATGGCGAGTGTTGTGAGTGAGTTAATCGTTGACTCCCCTCAGTATATATACAATATATAAAATATGACCGTTGCTGGAGTTTCCAATTCTAATCAGGATTTACTGTTGTGTTGCTTTACAGCTGTCAGTTGGTTTAAATTTTGAATTTAATATGACCGCCTAAAAATGCAAAAAGTTCGACACATTGAAACGCCACCGTCTCGCTTGATTTGTGTTGCTTGCTCTCTTCTCGACCATGGATTCACAAAAGACAAAAAGAACAAAAAAAGGGTTCCGTGCATTTGTTTTAATTTTTGTATAGATTATTAATGAAATTTCTCTATTTCATTGCACTTTATTTTCTCTGTGTTAAAGTGCTCAGTCTACAGAAGAAAACCGGAGACTCAGACTCTGGAATGGTGGAAGAAGCTAAGAATTGTCATAGAATTATAGGAACGGCGGAAGAGGCAAAACATCAAACAGATGGCGGGCTGTAGCTTGTAGAGCATGGCTGCCATTTTTATCATAGAATTATTGTACTTTAGTAGTTACTGCACTTGAAAGCATTCGAATATGATTGGGAAATTTATTTCAAATCCATGTAATGAACAATATTTCTACGTTCAAATGTCATTGAGTTACAACAGTTTTTGTGACCATTATCATCTCTTGCACATACACTTAAAAAGGGAAGAGCATTTTACAGACAACCACTTCAGCTCCAAATCATCTTAAGAAAACGTTCCACTTGCGCCTTGCAATTCGTTGTCATGCCGGGCTTTGTCAGTAGGAGGAGGTAGGTTGTAAAACTCTGCCAAATAAGCCAAAGCCTCTGAGTTACTATCACAAACCTTCCACAGAGATGTAATCTCTCCCTTGGAGAGGGTACCCCAGTCCTCACAATCATTAAGGAAGCCTAGAAGCTTTGAATAGAATGAGTCATAGTTCATCAACAAGAATGGAACTGGAAGCTCTGACCCGATCCTTTCTAGCTGAATTAATGCTAAAATCTCAAAAACTTCATCTAGAGTACCAATCCCACCAGGTAGAGCAACAACAGCAGTCCTATCAGAACTGCAGCTTCTAACTGCAGCATCTACCAACCCATGTTTCCTAGCAGAGAAAAACCTGCAAGTATAAAGCAGTTATGCAATTTGGCAGCAGTTTAAAAACACATTTGTAAGTTATGCAAACGCTAAACCCTAAAAGCCTTTGAAAGCTTTCTAGCAGATAAATATATCTTTCCTGCATGTGAGATACACTTCCGATGGTAGGTAAGGATGAAAATTTGATGCTGTCCATTCGCCAGCCTCTTTACCAATCTTAAATCCACCAACTGGTTTTCCTGCTTGCAAAGCACCTTTAGTAGCAGCATCCATTAGCCCTGGACCAGCACCCGTCCATGAAGTACATTCCAAAAGGTTTGCAATCTGCTCAGTAAGATTTGTGGACGGAAAATCTCCTCAATTAGACTATTGTAAATTTTAATTCCGAAATGCATTTCAAGTACAGGCATGCTATACATAAATACTTTTTACATCAAAGGGTGTGCTAGGGAAGGCAAGGCAGGACAAAGTGACCCACCTCTCTACCCAACTCTAGTGCTTGCAGATAATGTGAATGATCAGGTCCCATCCTTGAAGAACCCAAATACACGACTCCTCTCCCAAGTCTGTGTATCAGTTCATAACATCGTTCTATCTCTTTCCTGACCTTTGAACAACAAACTAAAAGTTAGGAAACAAGCTCTTAAATTTGCAAGATATTCCCAGTCAGTCCATTAAGCTTATAACCAGTAAATGATTATGTTGAAACTAAGGATCTATAATAGTAAGCAACATTCCAGGGCTAAAATTAACGCCTGGAACCAGTAATAAAAGCAGGGCTATAAATGATATGCTAAAACAAGTTATATATAAGAATTAGATCAATTTTTAATATACTTTTCCTCTCCCGGGCATGTGTATAAGTAATTCAAAACATTGTTGCATCTCTTTCCTGATCTTTCAACACCAAACCAAAAATTTAGGAACTAGGCCCTTCAAATTTTCAATGTATATTCCCAGTAAGCAAATAAAGCTTATAACCAGTATTAAAAGCAGGGCTCTACATGATGCTAAAACAGTTCATACAAAAGATCAAACTCTCAGCACTTACTGAGAATTTGGGTGACAGCCAAACTTGGTCACAACAGCATTATTGCCAAACTATTGCCTGAAAAAACTTCCAAATGGAGTCTGACATATCAAGCATAAAACATTTGACAAAAGGCACTAAGATTTTCATTTCACTATTCTATTCTACTTCAAATTTTCATTTAGACAGTCGATCTAAATTTGAGCTTTTCTAATACAAATGGGGTTCCCTTAGACTATAATAAGATGGAACAAAAATCTCCAAACAGAACCAGTCTACTTCTGTTATTGTCTAATTCAAACTTAACAACAAATATTAGCAAGCACATATGAACATATACAAAAGGATCATCAAAGCTACATACCTCATTTGGGCTTGTTCTCTCATCAAAATCAACTAATTCAGACTTGCATGATATAAGTCTTCCCGGGTGTGGGTAGGGCCTCGACCTTGAGAGCTTGAAACTAATGGTGGGTCTCTCTCTTGCCCAGAAAGATTGAATCTTCAAAGTCCTTTCATGACAACTTTTTACTAAAACATGACAATCGATTGAAATTGAACCCAACACCGAAACCCCCATTCTCAAATCTTCCAATCGTCTTGAAGATTGATTTGCTGGATGATATTTGACCAAATTCCAAGTGGGTATGCGTCATTAACTCAAATTATCAGCATTGGCAAACAGAAAATTGGTATAAAGCGAACGAAAACCCAAACTTAAGCTCTCACAATTTGCACTGTGATGCAAAAATGTGGAACCTTTTGAGAGGTAAGGGGAATAGGGTTCTTCAACTATGAACAGTCCAACTTGCTTCGATATATACAAGCAAATGGGCTACCTACTGCCTAACGTGCCGTCAAATTTATGTGAAGAACACAAAGGCCGGGGCTCATACCCGAGTCCTAAGTTGGAACCGGTGTCCACTCTATTTGTTTTACAAAAGGTTATTTTTCTCTAATTACCCTTGTAGTAAATATTGTTCGGGTTTAATGAATATTTACATGTGTATTCTTTCTTCTTTTTTTCAATAATCCTTAAAAAAACCAAAAACAAAAGTGAAAAAAATTATATACAAATAAATAAATAAAAACTCTAGCGTCCCTATCTGTAGCCTCACATCTATTCTCTACTCCGCTTCTCTCATGCCCTCCCTTCCTCCACCAAATTTATCCATCCCCATCCTCTGAAAAATATGTAAAAAAAATGAAAAGAAAATTTAAAAAGGAGGAAAGAACGAAAAAAAACAAAAACAAAATAGAAAGATCTATTCAAAACGCATTACTCTTTTCGAACACACACACTTACCATAACGATTTGTTTATTTTGTGATAGGAGAGGGTTTTTTTGGAAGTCAGTGATATATTCAAAACGCATAGTTTTGGTCCAAAGAAGCTCCAGGCAGCAAATCCTTTACGTAGGCTGTAGTGCACAGGGCTGCTTGGTTTATTTTTTTAAGTGATATGTTCAAAAGGCATAGTTTTGGTCCAAGTGAAACCAAATAATAATAATAATAATAAAATAAAAATAAAAAGAAAGGACCAACAGCTACGTAAAGGTTGACACCCCTTCCTCAAATGAGTTTCAATTGAAATTGGATACCCTTCCACACCTGAACCAGGGACGGACCCACAGTGGGGTCAATGGGGTCAAACGACCCTATGGACTCCATGAACGCAAGGTAGAAGGTCCCTTTGAAATGGTATGTGACCCCATGAATGGGGGAAAGAGGAAGCTGCAGAACCGGAGGAAGAAGAAGCTGAACAGGAATCTGTTTTTTTTTTTTAAAAGAAGCTGACCAAAACGACGTCGTTTTGGCCCAGCTTCTAATTTTTTTTTAAAAACCGCTGACACCAAAACGGCGTCGTTTTGGAGAAGCCCAGCAGCAACGAATTTTTTTAAAAAAAACCTAGCCAAAACGACGTCGTTTTGGTCCAGGTCTTTGAAAAAAAAAATTAAAACAGATTGTATAACAGCCCCTCTTCGACCAGACATGCCCTCAGAGCTCCAAAACCCCACATTTCCTAAACCTCAAACCTAAATCCCCAATCTCCACCTCCCACAAACTTTTAACCCTCTCCCCCACCAAGCCTTTAAGCCCCAACTCCTCCATTGCCGCCGCTTCCAAAGGCTTGCTTCCGCTTCCACCACCTCACAATTCAAGGTAAATTCTAACTCTAAACCTAAATTACTTGAATTGAAATTGAATTTATGATTGTATTATATTGTTTTGATTTATTGGATATGATATTTTTGAATTTTTTGTGGTTAATTGGTATAAATTTGTTGTTGTCTTTAATTGATTTTAGTTATTATTTTGATTAATTTATGTAGAATTATGGAAAGATTTTTTAAGAGAAAATCATCATTGGGTAGTTCGGATAGTGTGGGTAGTTCAAGAACTTCAAGTTCAAGACAAAATGAGCACAACTCCAAGAAGAACTTGTGATAGCTTTTGAAAATGATTGTCTTATAACGGGGCGAGGTTTGCATCAAGAAACAAGTCTCAAACGTGCCGGTGACACACGATGGCTTTGGTGAAATCATGCAAGGAAAGGCTACATTGGATGAGGAATAATGGGTTTGATGCATTGGTTGAAGAGGTGTCTTCATTTTGTGACAAACATCATATTGATGTTCCTAACATGGATGAGGCATTCCTACTTCCAGGGAGGTCAAGGCGTAATGCTCCAATAAAGACAAATCGTCATCATTATCGTGTGGAGCTCTTTATTTATGTCATTGATGAGCAACTTACGGAGTTAGATGATCGTTTTAATGAGGTAAATACTGAGTTGCTTATTTGTTTGGCATGTTTAAGTCCGAATGATTCATTTGAAGCTTTTGATAAACAAAAGCTACTTCATCTTGCTCAATTTTATCCTCAAGACTTTTCGGATGGGGATCTTTTGGCACTTGAAGATCAACTTGAGCTTTATATTCATTATGTGCGTTCGAGTAGTGATTTCTCTGACTTGCAAGGGATTGGTGATCTTGCAAAAAAAATGGTGGAGACAAGGATGCATCTAGCATTCAATTATGTATATTTGCTTATTACATTGGCTCTAGTTTTACCGGTTGCTACTGCTTCAGTCGAGAGGGCATTTTCTGTCATGAATATTATCAAAGGTCCACTTCGGAACAAAATGGGAGATCAATGGTTGAGTGATAGTTTACTTGTTTACGTTGAGAAAGATGTTTTTGATTGTATTGAAAATGAAGCTATAATACTACGTTTTCAAAATATGAAACCTCGTCGTGGCCAATTGTAATTTGTACTGTTGTTTTTTACATGAATTATGAATCAATGTACTGTAGTTTCATTTTCAATGTTATTTTAATCTTTAAAAAAAAATTGAACTTTTACACTATGACCCTACGAGCTAAGAATCCTGGGTCCGTCCCTGACCTGAACCACCACAACCCACACCGGCCAACTCCCCAACCACATTCCTTTTTCCTCAATCCTCCTTTGCCACCATCATCCATTAGCTTTTCTCTTTGTGCTTTGCTTTTTTCATTATCATTGACTATCTCTCACTCTCTCAAATTGGTACAAATGAATTCCATTACATTCATTAAGCAATGAAACCCTGAAAGGATCTCTCTCCCTCTCTGTATTCTTTGATTCATTTGGTAGAAACCCATTTGTTTTTAGAGGCAAAAGAAGCATTGTGAAGTGGGCATAAGCCATGGCAGCTCCTAAACCACAAGAGATCAACCATCCACCAATGGAACAACCCTCCACAATTTGTTTGGAAAATTAATTTCTCTCTTAAATTTCAAAGTAATTTCTCTTTATGCTTTAATTAATCAAGATGGATTGTTGGGTTTTGTTTTGGTTATTTTGTATAGATTTTTTCAATTTATTTATTTGTATATATTTTTAGTTTTTAATTAATTAATAAAGATTGTTGTGGTTTGATTAAAGCTTGTTAGTTTGTATATAATTAACATGGTGAATTTTTTAATATGATTAATATGGTGTTTTTAGCCTTTTAAATATCATTTAAATTATCAGGGTATGTGGTTTTTATTTATTTATTTAAGTTTTTAACTTTTAAAATATTGCTTCTTTCTTGAAAAATTTATGGGTCCACCGCTATGTGTACATACACAACATTTGGTAATAAATAAATAAAAAGTTGTCTAGTATTGTTGTTATTATTTTTAGTGTTTCATTTTCAAGAGATTGTATTTATATACTTTCCAAATCCAAATAGTAAAGTTGAAACATACACATCATATATTTCTTACTTCTCATAATCAACCTAGCAATCCTAACAATTTCAAGCATATACAAAGTCAAGGTTGCATCCACTATATTAAAGGTTGATATGGTGACAACCTATAGAGGCCAGTGCCAAAAAATAATAAGATTAGTAGATATGCTTTGATTCGATTTGGTTGAATTCTATATAGGTCCAACTGAATCAAACTGAACTAATTATGGTTTGGTCCAAGTTTACACTTTTTTTTTATTAAAGTCGAACCAAACTGGTCGGACTAGTTTAGTTTTCGCTGGTTTGAACAATTCGACTGGTTTTGTCCTGGCCCTTACCTAAAATTAAATGCATTTTCAGTTTTATATTTGTCGGAGTAGAAATTTCGTATCCTCCAACAAAAATTCTTCTAATCCATGCTTGAAATACCATATTCACTTGCTAAAATAGCAAAATTGTTTTATAAAATTTGAAAGCCACGACGGATTGTAAAAGTCTATTCTCATCGTGTGGTATCGCATGAAGATACGATATGATGAAAATGCATGTGTGCATGGTAATTTGTATAACCATAAAAGAACCAAGAACATATTTTTTCTTTCACTTGTGTCCTATTGTAGCTTGGAGGGATAGTGCACCCATTACTTCTCAATTTGGTTTTATTGTTAATTTCCCACTGCGGCACAAACTTTTGGAGAATAAATTTTCAGGAACTTCTTTGTGCATCGAGAAAGGGATTGATCAAATAATAATCAGGAAACTTTTTGTATTAATTCACAAATATTTTAAACTCATGGGTCTTTTTTTTTTTTTTTGCTTTTTGTTTTTGTTAAGAAAGATGTTATAGGAAGTTTCCTCTTTCTCCAAAATAAACAAAAATATATACGTAATGTATTTATCAAGTTAGAAAATAAATACGGAAATACATCTTGAAACTTCCTTCTTTTCCTTTTTTTTCTTTTTCCTCTTTGATTTGAAAATATTCAAATTTGTTCAATCATATGACCTGTCATGCATACAAAATCAGGTAAGGATATATGTCTTTGAAATTTAAAATAAGTAAGCAGATATTTGAAGTTGATCTCCTATTCCATAAATCTTCAAAGATGGTGGACTTTGCATTGCCTGAGGATCTGAAGATGAAAATAGTACAGTTAGTAGGTTCCGATGTGAAACCGACGCTCGTTCGCAATTTGACGTTTTGTGAGCACGATTTTGGCAATCGTTTGGTGCTAGTGCTACCCGAGTCTTTGTCTGGTGTGCCAATCAACCTTAAGAAAAGGCAGTCGCTTACCGTAAGGATGATCGGACCCACACTTAATGTGTTTGATATGACTCTTAGTAGGAGTGCAGATGGTGGCCATGTTTTAAAAGATTGGAACTCAGTTATGCAAACAGAGGATTTCAAAGAAGGAGACACTCAGTTATGCAAACGGAGGATTTCAAAGAAGGAGACACTGTGTATCCAAAGGCCCTAACAACATTCTTTGGTTTGTTATGCATGCATAAAAGATCTACAATTAATTAGCTAGGGCTGATTGTTATTTATTATTATTAGGGTTTTATATATTGCTCACCAGAGTTATGTGGGAGCTAGGTAGGGATGAGTTATCAATCATCCTTTGTTAATTGTTACTCTTTGGTTCTTCAATATTAAGTGTTAGTATTGTTATCTAATTTTCTAATAAATTTCTATAAACTGTTACAATAAGTTTTAGCTTCCATTCCAGTAACTTTTTTTTTTCAATGTTGAAAGCACCATAATTTTTTTTAAAAAAAAGAAGAAGAAAATTGGCCACATATATCTGATATAAGAGACACCAAAGTGATCCTTGGACAAAATAACAAAGTAAGCTCTCTAAAGTGCGTATGGTATGATATTTGGCTACTTGTATTTTGATCTCTAAATTTTTTTATAACAGACAGAAATTAACTTCACTATATTGCTTGTAGAAACATACATAAATTTAATCTAGTTTCAACCCAATGAAGAAAAAGATTAATTGATTGTAAACGTGGTACATGTACATTACTTAATTGGTCAATCTATGATGACCATATTAGCTTCACTACTTGCAGTAGTAGTGTTCTCCATTCCCATTCCCATAAACTGTGCAGTGGAAGATTGCCGCGGACCATCATTATCATCATCACAGTTGATCAAGTGGATGAGTAAATCATAATCAATCGAGCATTCGAGCGCATTGACTTGGTCTTCTTCACTACCAAATGGACTAGGCCAATATCCAATATTATTGCCCAGGCCTTGTTGAGTCTCATAAACATCTGACGCCCTCTCTTGGTCACAAGCTGCGTACGATCCCAAGGCTTGTTCCGTGAATGGTTGTGCGGTGTCCAAATTTGAGAAATCGCTCATTAGGGCATCGCCATCACCGCCACCACCAAATTGGCTGACGTCATCAGTATAGTTTGCCCTAGCTTGGGAAGAGACCACAGTTGTTGTGTATACAAAAGAGCTGTCCGGCTGAGATTGAGTGAGTCCAGTTGGCAAGTATGAAACACTCCCACCAATTCCAGTAGCCTCAGACATGGGAGTGCAATTACCAATAAATTCCTCAAAGCTAGTCACTTGTTGCGGCCTTTGCCTCTTATTTTGAGATTGTACTGGAGTGTCAGTTTCATTATCCTCTTCTGCAGTTCTCAACTTTCTCTTCCCCTTGTCATTCTTTCGAATCCGGCACAGCACAAACTGATTGGTTGTGTTTGGTTTGGGCTTCACCAATGAAGGGTGAAGGCTGTACTCGTGCATAATCCAGGAACCGTCTTGAACAGATTTAGGGTTTTCATAATGAAACCTTTTCCATATACCTAAATCGTTCTCCTCATTCGTCGGATCACTGACTGTGGTCCCTGAGTTCTCACCTTTCCATGTCCCGGACCCTATCGTGCGAGCCACGCGGGAGTCCTTGTCACTCAGGCTCTTCAATTTGGTGAAGAAATAAAGGTCTTCACCTGTGGCTAAGTTGTGTCCACCATATTCATGCCATATATCCCATGGCTCTATCTTACCATAAAGATCCATTTCTGGAATAACATTTTCATACATAAAGGATGTGCCACGAACCTTGTTAAGAAGATAATATCCCAATAACTGATCATCTCTTGGACGAAATTTAAAACCAACTGGAAGATTAACAACAGACTCAGAAGGTGCCATATATAAGCTATATAGCAGGTTCCTCTTCGACTTTTGTTGAGAAGAGAAGATTAAAGATGATCTTGGTGTCTTGGAATGGAAAGAAAATGAGTATGTAGGCTGGTTGGCAGAGAGAGGGTGTTGGTGTTGGATTCTTTAATATGGAGGCGATTCTGTAATGAGTTTCTTGGGGTTTTGTGAGAGTCGTCTTCCTTCCATTCCTATATATATAGGAGTATTAGGGCAATTGGAAGCTAAACCTTATACGGGGAGGATTTGTGTGGTGATATCCGTCCGTGATTTATGGGGAGGATATGCATCACCAAACTTTAATTCCCTAACCACCCTTTCTCCTTCTTCTTCCACTTCAA